CCCCAAAACCCCAAAACCCCAAAACCCCTTATGGAATCAATCAACTAAATTTTTATAAGCATAAAATATAAATATAGTAGTCACTTTGAAATATCCTTTTTATTTTCTAATGCACAGACTGATCTTTACTTTAATATCACTGCTAGTGTCCATTAAGCACATATCTTTTTATCTATCCTCCATCATATAATTATTCTTAATACATGCTATTGTTATCCTTACCTTCATCCTCATGTTAATACCTCTAATTCTCGTAATATTAACTGTCCTGCCAATGCTCTTGATAGTTATTGTTATCAATGTCTATCTAATACTAGAGATTTTGTTGCAATATATTTGAGTCATTTTATTAAGAGTGATCTATAGCGTATTCTCCTCCAATAAAATGCTTCTACTAATTTTAACTATAGTAACGAGTTGATTTAGCATGGGGTACATTTAGATGGTGATTATTTTGTCTATTTCGTTCAAATTACTAATCAATGTCAGAGTTGTTATTATTCTATTGGAAAACTTAATGACACTAGTAGCTGTTCAAAGATTGATTAAATTAGATTATTCTTTGATGAGATTGCTAGTTATAAGGTATTGGTACATTGTTCTATGGCTAAATATATGTTGAATTCGCAGATATAATGCCTTTCTCTAACTACTGTCTTAGTTATTCAAGATCAGTGCTCTCTCTTAAATCATTCATTGGAATTTAGCTTTTAAATAACTCTGGATCATATACTCTCTTGATCTATCCTTATCTCATTATCAATGGACTTGAAATAAATCCAGGTGAAGTAAAGTCATGTGGAGGACCATTGTAAATGTTTTATTGACTTGTGAATATATTATCTTCTAATTTGCCCAATTGCTGCTAAAACTATTATCTGTGATGAGCCACCTTAGTCAAATCGTATTCGTATACTTGACTGTTTCCTCTCAACTTGCCTTGTGAGTGAGGCTATGTTTAATACCTATGATATTAACTTGCTGATCCTGAAACGGGATGAAACGTTTGATCTTTTTCTTTATATGCTACTTCTACTTGAGGACTAAGGAACTTTTATCTTGTACTTGGTTCTAAGCTCTTTTGGTTAACTGAATTCATTAGATTAAGGCCATCACTGCTATCTTTCTATAGATGACTGTATATATTAGAACTCATTTTAGATACTCTGGTTGCTAGCTTAGACTGTCTGTTTGAAAGTCTCTTGTTGCCAGTTGAAAACTTTTGTGAATCGTTTAGCATCAAGCTGTTTACCAAATTATTATTCTAAATTTTATCATTCTTGACTGGCTGACAATTTTACTATAATGAAGAGGATGCGTTTTGACGGCTGGTTGTGACTTAATACTAGCGATTGCTTTCTTGAATCATTAGATGCTCACTTTCCAATTGTAACTACTAATTTTATAGAACACTTTCTTGGTGTTTTTCAAAAGATTACTCTAAACTTAGATTATCTGAAGGTGGAGTACTGCACTCTGAAATATCCTCCTCATTTTCCTGCTCCTCTTCTTACTCATTTTAATTTACTTATTCCTGTTATTATTAATAGCTCATTTCATATGGATTATTGCAAACTTGTTACACTATGACTTGATGGCAATTATCTTGCCCATAATCTGCATTTTACTAGTCTAAGAACTCTTAATAGTTCCTTAATTAATCAAACTCTTTTTCAATATCCTCTTTAGTTTCCCTTATTACTCTATAAATAGTTTAATGAGGATTTTGGTACTTACTGTTACTGCATTTAAGTTGCTTTTTCTAGCTAAATAGCAATCTATCTTGGGTAGTTGTAATACTCTTTATCACCATCACTACTTTACTGATCACCGATTGTCAATGCTTGAAGTCTCTAATCAAATACCTAGGATCCTCCATTTTAAATGACTAAATTATTTATGCTCTGAATTGAATTGATTAATAAGCCTATAGTTTGCTCCTACATCATCATGCCTTACTCATATTCTTTAACTCTGCCTAGAACTTAAGACTTAAAAGATTCAATTTTTTAATCTATTAAGTCATACTTAGAGACTAGTGGGGAAATCAATTCACTTTCTTTCTTCTTGAATTCACCCCTAAGCCTATCTAACTCTTATTCCACTTTTAATCTCAGTCGCTCTAAGCAATCACATTTGACATCTTGCTATTGAACATAAGAGGGCTGTTAAGATAGATAGAATTGATAGTGATCTTAATTTTGGTTTTACGAGGGACTCTTGCAATTATTAAAATTCCTTGCATTAATTTCTAAGTTTTAAAGCTAGATATCTAGAGGCTATCTGTAATTGATGACTTAATTGGTATGCTATATCTGATTTGGAAGAAAATTTTATCTGTTTTTATTAAAAGTATTTGCAAGCGTCGATTAATAGTACTGATCATTTTATGACTGAGCGAGTCCAATCTCGTTTTAGTGATAAAGCTGATCCTATACAACTGGAACAACATTTTAGTTGTCTTCTTATTAATCAGAGCAGACAAATTAATGCGATTAGCTGTAGTTATTCTAAGAACACTACTGATTTGGACTACTCGTTGTATCCCTAAATAGCTTTTTCTCTCTGAAAGGTAAGGAATTAGTCATTGTTTGCTACCCTTTCTAGATTTTATTTCTTGATTAACCATGTTCTTTTGTTTAAACAAGATTTATAATTAAGTCATTTTTACTTAACTAATGTGGTTATTTCTAAGTCTTAGAGAATGAGTTATTTGCACTCTCAAAATGGTATTATTAATCTACCTGATTTAAGGATCTAAACGAATTCTATGATCCATCATGGGAAATCAAATGCTTAGCCTATTTATCTTAGAATTCAAATAAAAACATTACTTCATTTTAGTTATTATCAACTAGCTATTCATTTGAACTTTGAAACTCATCTACATCATCTAGTTCAGCGAATTCGAAATTATTAGCGTTAGAATTCATTTTTTAGTTTTTATTAATTAAAAATTAAAAATCCCCAAATTTAATTGAATTTCAACGTCTGGGGTTTTGGGGTTTTGGGGTTTTGGGG